CCAGTTTGGCTCTTTTGTCATTTCAGGTTTATAAGCTCTTATTAACTAACTAACTAACTAACTAACTAACTAACTAACTAACTAACTAACTAGAGCCCTTCAGCCAAGGATCACAGGGTAGGTTACAATATAAAACACAAAACATAGTAACGAACAAAAACAATAACCCCTCCACAGTGTAAAAGGCATAGATCATTTAATTAGCCATATGTAAGTTCCTGTGTCCTGTCAATATAATAAATTTATCTTCCATTCAATTTTATTATAAAAAAATCAACATTTTATTTGTTACAACTCCATGTATAGTAATAATTGAAAAGGGGGAATGGGAACTTTGTACAAGGGTTATATACAGTTTGCGCGTAAAGCACTTTTATTTTACAATTCAAAAAGAAGTGTTAGTGAATGAGTGAGTAGGGTTGACCAAATGTTGGTCATTATAACAAATACATCCTTGCAAAGCACCATCATACATAAGTCTATGACCACACTAATTGGATTTTAAAGACAGTGAAAGAAAGATAAAAATTACAAGATGTGAGCATTTAAAATATTAAAAGCAGCACCAGATCCTTCACTTTGCAAACAAGGCTTGTTCAGCTTATGGTGGCTTGTATCTTCATATGTGAAAATATACTGACTCCATCCCTTCCCCAGTTTGACTAAAGGCAATGATAGATTTGACTGGAAGATTCCCCTGCCTTGTTGTTTTAGGCCTCTGGGCCAGCATCCTTTTAACCTCTTTTTGGCATCCAATGCTTCTACTGCAACAGTGAACTCTCCCCCCCCCCTCAAAAAAAAACTCTTTTATTTTCCATTTTAAAGTTTAAAATGGATGCCAGACAAAAATGTCCTTAACATGGTTTAGGCTGACACCAAGTATTTTCAAGACAAAAATTGCCCTCCTTAATGAAAACTGCCATAAATGGACAGAGACAAATAAATTTCAGAGTGCCTGTGCTCGCACACAGATTTTGGAGTTATCACTTTACCTGCAAACATCACAAGTACAGTTTTACGAAACTCAGTCATTCCTGTTAACAGGTGCATTCCACCAATCAACAACTAACAGATTTCACCCTGTAGCATGTAACAGAATGGTAGCTTATCTGTGTGCTGAAAGGCCCACATTTTTCAGTCCCATTGATTGCAATGGGAAAGACTGAAACATACATATTTCTGTCCCCCTGAAATCAATGGAAATAAAAAAATGCACCTACAGTTTCTATGCACATTTACTTAAACATCCCGTTAGTAGTGGGATGCATGTTGTATAGTTTTGCATGCATTCTGTTTTGTAATTGTGACCTATGGTTTGGATCATTCCACTTCCCATTTGGCTTTAAAAAAAAATTCTAAATCTCTTAAATAAAAAGTAGCATTCATGACTGATTGTCATCATGCATCCCCCAGTCTAATTTTAGTAAAAACCAGAAAGGCCTTTCTCCTGGGCATCGTAGGCCAATGGATTGAAAATAAGTGGTATTGGTAACAAGGTTATTAAGAATATGCAAATATGGATTGAGAATGGATGAAAATGTATAGTTATAATAGGTCAAGATATAGAGTTAAGATAAATGAAAGAGGGTAAGGATTTGCTGAATGGATTATGTAAATAGGAACACAAAAAGGGGAGGTGTGAGGAGGTCAAGGAAACAAGTAAATGAATTTGAAGATATTGAAAAATGGATTTTTTATTTTTTCTTAGCTATTTGTTTTTTGAACTTTGTATTTTTTCTCTCTTTTTTCTTTCTTTTCTTCTATGTTTTTTTTTTGGTATGTTAATTGTTGTTTTAACTTTTTTTATTCTGTATATCTATGTTTTTCTTGTAAAACGCTAATAAATATTTTATAAAATAATAATAATAATTTTAGTAAAAACAAACAAACCCAGAGACCTTAAAAGTAGTCTCATACATAAAAACTTTGTTTACTGCATCTAGAAACTATGTTTAAATAGCTTTCTGCAAAAAGTTGGTTTCCAGGTGGAAAAATCAAAATTGGAAACAGAACTAACAGTTCTGTTAGACTCCAAAACTAAGAATTTGTCAAGAATGTATAATTTGCTGTTGAAATGGAATACTCAGGATGAAACGGTGAAATCTGTTATGATTAAATGGGCACAAGATGTTGGACATAACATTATGATGGCTGACTGCCAACAGTTATGGACCACAGGTATGAAGTTCACGGCATGTAATGCCTTAAGAGAGAATATAATGAATATAATGAAACATGACACCAGTCAAGCTTGCAAAAATTTATCACTTGCCCGATAATAAATGCTGGAAATGCAAAGAGACGGAAGGTACATTCTTTCACCTTTGGTGGACATGCCCAAGGATTAAGGCTTTCTGGGAGATGATCTATAACGAAATGAAAAAGGTATTTAAATATACCTTTCTGAAGAAACCAGAGGCCTTTCTCCTGGGCATGGTCGGCCAATTGGTGCCAAAGAAGGACAGAACTTTTTTTATGTATGCCACAACAGCAGCAAGAATACTTATTGCAAAGTATTGGAAGACACAAGATCTACCCACTCTGGAAGAATGGCAGATGAAGGTGATAGACTATATGGAACTGGCGGAAATGACTGGCAGAATCCGAGACCAGGGAGAAGAGTCGGTGGAGGAAGATTGGAAGAAATTTAAAGACTATTTACAGAAACATTGTAAAATTAATGAATGTTAGAATGATGTTGGAATGAATCTATGTGATTTTAGCAAAAATGTAACAAAGATTTAAGAAAAATAGACTGTTAATTGGTGAAAAGAGGGAAAGTAAACTTATATTAAGAGCAAGATAAATTTTCAGGATAAAAATTTTGAAGAGAGGGAAAGGATTTGCTGAAATGGATAATTGACTTAGAATACAAAAAAGGGAGGTGTGAGGAGGTCAGGGAAACAAGCAAATGAAAGATAAGTTATGGGAAGGTTCGATTTGTTTTTTGTTGTTTTTTAATTGTTTCAATTTTTCTGTTTTTTTTATTGTGATGTGTTGTTTTGCTATTGTTTAATTTGGTGTTTTTTCTTTTGCCTTTTTGTAAACTTAAAACCTTAATACTATTTTTAAAAAAAAAGCTTTCTGCAGAACTCGTTTACTGGGAACCCAGTTAAATAAATATAAATATTTTTTCAGTGGCTGTAAAATAATTTAATGTAGAGTACTGTTTTTGCAATTAAAGCTAAATGATACTATATCATAAAATGGAAGTTGCCTGTTCCTATCAAGCATACAGGTGCTCATCATGGTTGCTTTTCTGATAATTATTTCAGAAAGTCTTTACTAGAGAAAGATTAACTTGACTTTCTGACTTTATCTTGCCAAAACAGAATTGGAAAAGGCTACAATCAGGAAGTTTAGAAATACCTTTTGCAAATGTCTATTAGACAGGTGTTTATTTTAAAAATGCTTGTCAAATGTGAACACTTGGTAACTGAAACACAAATAATATTGATTATATGGACTGCTATGGTCTCTGCCTGACTAAGGATTGTCTTCGCATGGTGGCGAATGGATGTCCATGCATCCTAAGAGAAGGACCTGCGGGATCAGACCAAGAGCCCACCCAGCCCAGCATCCTGTTTCTCACAGTGGCTAACCAGGTGCCTCTGCAGTCAGCATATAACCAATAGGACTTTACATATAAAGTCTTAATGGTTATATGCTGACATAATAATCTAGCCACTGGCAGCCTCCCTGGCTTTGTCCAATTCCCCTTGAAAGCAGTCAGTTGGTGGCCATCACCACATCTTGTGGTACCAAACTCCATAACCTGTGACCTGGCTGCCCTTTGCATAGGCCCATAGGCACAAGAAGCCTGTTCACACAATCTTTCATAAAATTGTGGTGATAATATGGGGAAGGATCCTGACAGCTAATGAAAACTATGGACAAACTGGAAAAGAGAAGCCAGGAGAAAGTTTTCTGTTGGGTGTAAATGGCCTCCTAAGTGAAAGCAGCTCCTTGGCTCAGGGAACAAAAAGTGACTGACTACTACCTCTCTACCTCTGGTGAAGAGTTAAACTCAAAACACGTTAGGCTGAAGAAACTGGGAGAGCACCCGCAAATCAATGCAATTTTCTCTTGTGACTTTGGATGCCTCCAGCCTGTATTTCTTTCTAGCCAAGCCTTCTCCCTGATTCTTGGTGGTGGAAAGCCCTTCTGTTGCTCTAGGCAACACATGGGTAATGATGAAGAGAGCAAGTTACAGGAAAGGTCAAGCCAAGACACTGCCCAGAGGTGGAGGAAATGGTGCAAGTCCAGCCGACAAGCTGGGCACCCAGAATGGTTTCATTCTTTTGATTTTATTATATTATTGCACTTTCAATTTTACAAACAAGAACAAAGATTCTATTCTTAGTGCTCTTGCTCATCTTCAAATGTAAATTCAACTCTTTGATTGATTTGTTTTAGTATGCAACTGTTGATCTACAGAGATGCGAAACAGCTTATCCTTGGCTTGACTCAAGATAGCATTTGCTCTAAGTTAGTGGCTTTCTTTCCAGGGTTTGTCCTGGGTGCACCACAAAAAATTGACAGTTATCTGTCATCTAAATGAATTTGCACAGGAGGCAAGAAATCTTGGCTCCATCACTGGAAGAAGATAGCACAGCACAGCATAAGCTCAACCACCTTGTAAAAGAAATTGGCACAAATACACACTTTGCAAGAAGAAGATTGTTGCCAACGCAGTACAAACATTTGGATTGAGATAAAGCAACGCAATATTCTGAATTCCCCAGTGCAATTTTATATGGGCTAATTCCCAGTCAGAATGGTGTTCACTTAAAGATGTCAACAATGAATGGTCACTTCCCACCAGCAGTACAGCCTCTGTTCAACCTCAAATATTCTTCACAGATTAGGTACTACATGAAGTTTTCCTTATTCTGCAACTTCCAGGTGATCCCAGGTAAATATTTTCTGTTCAAAAATTCAAAATGGACAGCTAGATAACTTCCAAGTTTGAAGCTCCTGTAATTCAGCACTTTTTTTTGGGGGGGGGGGGGTAGAAATGTACAAGCTAGCCTTTGAAACCAAAGCCTAATTCCAAAATTTGGCCTGAAATCCTGACAAGCATAACTTTGGAAGCAAATTTCAATTAACTCATTTAAGTTTACTTCCATGTCAATGCACTTAGGTCTAGAATACAAATAGATTTCCTTTAAAGCTTCTTCAGGCACATAGTGTACATCCATTAGATTTCCAAATGCCAAGGTTGCTCATGGAGTTGAAATAAAAGTGAGCTCTGAGAATGAAATGTAACAGTGCACAAGTTAGCAAAAACAAACAAACAAAACAAATAAACAAACAAAAACAAACAAACAAACAAACAAAACCCCCATGAAAGTTACAGATTCAAAGGCAGGTCATGTTTGGAGCCTGAAAACTTTCAGACATAAAAGGGCTTCTTTTATATAGTAGTTGTGGCTGCCATGCCCATACTAGTATTTCCTACATGACACAAAGCATGAAATTGTGATTTATTTCTAAATACAATATGAGGAGGCTCTAAGGAGGAGTAGCCCATTGCAACTTTCCGGGACATGTCTGTTCTGTATTCCCAAGTTTTTGAAAACACACATCTCAATTTTGTGTTTTTCTCATTTAGTTCAGCATCCAATGTTGTAATGCAGGTGCAATCATGGCTAATATGATTTCCACGAAATGTATGAAACAGCTCTTAGTGAAAATAATGGGATTTCCTGACATCTATTTACAATCAGTGTAACAATATTATTATTTTTATTCTAGCAGAAAGGCTCTGTAGCCTCTTTGTGATAGTTGTCCAAGTTCCAAAGCCTGAACTTCAGAAAAGCCTTTTTCACATGTTGATTTCTTGCCAGCATGTAAAGCTACCATAAAATGAAGCCCTGGCACCCCTTTCAAATCAGGGAAGAGTTGTAGAGAAAATGAAACTAACTAGATAGATAGATAGATAGATAACAAAATACTTTGGCAAAGAATGATGGTAAAAAAACCTGTTGTTCACAGCAGTTTATGCTTAAGAACTGAATTTCTGCCATAGAAGAGGAAGTGGAAATCGCACTGCAAAGACTGGGTTACTTAACTTCAACAGTAAGACGTGTTTCAAACAACCAAGGAGGTCCAGAGTGCATCCTGAATGAAAAACGCTTAAATGTTTCCTAATAAAGAAAAATATCATTTTAAAATATATATGTAAGCATTGTATACTGCGGTATTTACTAGACACTGAAAGTACTGCAAGAACATAACATTTCATTTACATTAAACTAAGAACTGAAAGTAAAATTTTATAGTTTATAAATATGACATCTAGATGATGATGTCATTATATTTTTATACAACAACACCTTTTCTGGGCACTGAAACATTTTAAAGAGCTGGCAGGAAAAGGTATTCAGGTATAATTACCCTTGTCTTTATGATGGGAATAGCTCTGACCTGGTAGAACATAATCCTATTGTACTGCCAGGAAAGGGGGGGGGGAGACTCCTCTCACACACATGCACCCATACACACTTACATATTCACAAAAGGCCCATTCATTCTTTACTCAGCTCCAAAGAGTTAACAGGGTGGTGGAACTAGGAACAGTCCTCAAGTTTGTGCACTCCTTCTCTTGATTCTCTTACAGCAGACAGATGCTAACAAAGAGACCTTCCTGGCTCTGCAAAATGGAGCAGGGAGACATAAGGGAAGAAGTAAGCAAGCTCGAGGCCCACTCCTTATTATCCTCTCAGAAGGTTATTGTGGCACCCAATAAACAGCCACTGAACACCTATATTGTTCTTTTTAGCACACACACAGAGACTTGAAACATAACCACAGCCAAGAAAATGACAGAACACCTAGAAAGGGACAAACGTAGAAATGATGCAACTTGGCTACTTCAGAAAATGTGAATTAAACAAAAAGGTGCCATTTTCAAAAGTGTATAAGCATCCATGATTTCACTTCTGAGAATAAAGCCCTTTATGTACCATTAGTTATCTGTCCGGTTTATGTACCATTAGTTATCAGTTTTCTTCAGCTTTAATTTGAATTGCTGGTCCATCAGAGCAAATGCCAGAGGTTATTCAGCTCTTTGAAGACGTTTATATATGCTGCTTTATGGTCGGTTCCCTTAGTTCTATTCCTTGTCAAAAGCTCTTTTCTTTTCCTTTTTGGTGTTTGGCTCATTGAACAGCAACACAACCTTGATCCTTCTATTTCCCTATGTGCTCAGTCACTTCACAAATTTTAAGGCATCTTCTTGTGTTCCATTTGGAAAAATAAACAACAAACTTCGTATACAAATTTTAAAATTTTCTTATGGCACAAAGCAGCAAACTGTTTTAGGAAAATATATAAATAACCTTCTCTCTCTCCCCACCCCCTTTCTGTACAAGATATATGCAATATAACCCCCACCCTCATTTAATAATTTTCAGCTGTACACACTATAGCCTGCCTCATGTCCTCCCCCCTCTTGATAAGGACAGTTAGTATTTACACTGGTGGGTTGGAGGCAGTCAAAGGAGGGAGGGAGTCTCTCATGAGGAGTCTGTGCAAGGAGAAGGGGGCGGTGGATAGAGGTGATGAGAGTAACTCCGTTCTGTGTATGGAGATGGTGGGCAGCTCTCATAGTTCTCCTCTGCCGATAAGTACTGGCTGCGTGGTGTGGGCGGTGGGGGTACAGGCTCAGAATCATAGTTCAAATCACTGGTGTAACCCTTTCCCACAGTTGCCATCACTCTACGGCTGGGGGCGTAGTCACTGTCACAAACATCTGTGCTGCATGGTGTAGTGGGAGGGGCAAAATGCCGGTAGCTGTATGGCCTGTAACTGGGATGGGAAGGGAAAAAAGAGTTAGGAAGGAAAGACGCATCAATATTTGAAAGGAATCTCAGATTTCCTTGACCATGCAACATGCCAATATGATCAGTAGGCACAGGGTTGTTTTTGTGGGTGTTTCTTGCAACATGCTGCTGGTGCAATACAAGTGCACTGATGGCTGATTGATATTGCACCATCCACACATCAATTTCACTTTATTAGTTGTCCTGCAATGGTTCCCCAATGTTAGAGCACTACAGCACTACTGCCATCTGGAAAGGAAACATGTGCCCAACAAAGGCAGGATCAAAACAAAAGCAGCAACATAACCCAGAACATTTCATAGAATCACAGAGTTGGAAGCGACCCTGAGCATCATCTAGTACAACCCTCTGCAATGCAGGAATATGCAGCTGTCCCTTACAGGGATTGAACCTTGGCGTTATCAGGACCATGCTCTAACCAACTGAGCTATCGGAGCTATTTCTGGTATAAAAAGTTACAGGATTTCAGCAGGAAACTATGGGACATGCACTGATAGGAAAATGAAGCAGTATGCCAGTCCTGAACATTTTGCAGGCACAAACAGTATGGAAAGTGAGATTGTGCTTAACTGCCTTGATCCTATTATTAACACAACAAATAATCATGAATGCACAATAAAAAGACATTTTGGAAAAGTCCAAACACATTTTAAGTTTTTCTCCTTAGACAGCTTTTGCATTAAATGAAAAATGAAGGCAGCTTCCTGTGTAGCCTCCACAGTGCAAGGAAAGACCCGCTTTGCATGACATTTCAGTAAATCTTATTTGCTCAGGGAGTGGTATATTCATTCACTTCTTCTGCCTTCCATTTTGATACTGTCCTGGCTCAGGAAGCATATATGCATACCCCAAAAGACAACCCAATTGGCCATCCCAAAGGCAGCCCATGGACTTACAAATATTGGGAATTAAAGGTGCCTTTGATTCACTGCTAAGAAAGCAGCTGGCACAGGTGCAAGCTTGTCAACAGCACCCTGTAAGCCAGGGCAGTCTCTAGATGGAGTTTTGTGAAGTGGGAGGAGGACCCTTTTCTTTCCGCATGACATTTGTGTACTACAAATGACTACATGCACACCATGTATGGAGTAAAAATGTTTGTGGGCTAGACAGGTTTAGTAGACTTATTTGAAATGCCACACTACAGTGCCAATGAATGCAAATAATAAAATTACCTGTACGATCGATGGGTAGATGGACTATTTGAAGAATATCCAAATTCCATAGTGTAATGTGAACGCTCAGTAGCTGGTGATGGAGGAGGATTCAAAATCTTTTGAGAGAGAGGGAGAGGAGGGGAGACAATTTTAACAGAACCATAACAAAGTTTAAAAGCAATATTTTAAGCGCAGCAGTAGTAAGCCAATCCTTAGTAAGCACAGCACTAGCTTCTACCATTTAGTATGTATTTTGGAAAGTTGTTTGTGCACACAAGTTTGTTAAACCACCTAGAGTTGGAATAAAGGTGAGAAAGGAGCAGCAAAACCACTGGAAAACATGGAAGATTAGGCCTGCAGTCAGTTCTTTATGACACCTCATAATATATTGTAACCATTTTGACAGTCGCTGAGATCAAGGAGCAGGTTTTTTTCTACTGTTGAACACCATTTTGAATCACGACTGAACCTTTCAAAAGTGTACTGATTTTTTATTTTTATTTTTGGTTTCTTAGAATTTTGAGCAATGTCATATATATTTACTTAATTAAATTTATACACTGCTTGATTGTAAAAAAAAACCAAAACCCTCAAAGCTATAAAACAATAAAATTGAGAAAAAACACAACCATACTTTAAAACATACAAAAGTTAAAATACTAAAACAGGTTAAGATTACCTCAACTTTCTAAGCATCTGGCTAAGCTTGTCTAAGGGGGATGCGGGTGGTGCTGTGGTCTAAACCACAGAGCCTAGGGCTTGCCAATCAGAAGGTTGGCGGTTCGAATCCCCGCGACTGGGTGAGCTCCCGTTGCTCGGTCCCAGCTCCTGCCCACCTAGCAGTTCGAAAGCACGTCAAAGTGCAAGTAGATAGATACCACTCCAGCAGGAAGGTAAACAGCATTTCTGTGCACTGCTCTGGTTTGCCAAAAGCGGCTTAGTCATGCTGGCCACATGCTGTCTGCGGACAAATGCCAGCTCCCTCGGCCTATAGAGGGAGATGAGCACGCAACCCCAGAGTCGTTTGTGACTGGACCTAACGGTCAGGGATACCTCTACCTTTACCTAAGCTTGTCTAAACAAGAACATTTTTAGCAGGCACAGAAAAGAATACAGTGAAAGTGACTGCTTGATCGCAATAGGCAGGGAGTTCCAAAGTGCAGGCACTGCCGTGCTAAACAATCACGTTCTTACAAATGCAGAATGGGCATTATGTGGCACCTGTAGTAGTGCCAATTCTACCAATCAAAGCAGTCAAGTGAGCACGTGTAAGGCATGGTGATCCTGTAGGTATATGGAAATGCTAGTGTTTTACATACTACTCATTTTTACTGCTCAGAAGCATTTGCTTTTATTTCACTTAATTTTTATGTCTTGTTTCCATAGTGGAATTTAAGAAAGTGTACCCTGAATTCCATGGTAGTCTCCCATCAAGGCACTGATCAGATTCAAATCTTCTTAGATTCAGAAAAGTTGCTATATTGTGTACCTTCAGACTATGCCTTCAAACTGAAAGCTCCAAGGAGAAAAAATATTTATATAATAAGTTTCTATCTAATATTTAGCTTTCCTGCTCAATATTACATTACAGATTTGTTAGAATATTGACCTAATTTTGTCCTTTTCTTGTGCTGCAAAAAGAGGCTTTATGGTCCAGTTTTCAGAGCTAGGCTCAGCAGTGCTACAAATTACAGAAAGAATAGTTTATCAGAAGTGACTTACTGGAGGGAAGTAAGTGCCCTTGGTGCTTGAAGAACTGCTGGATGATGCCCCAGTAACATGGGCTCTATCATATGGAGGTCCACTACTTCCACCCATAATACTGAGTGAGCTGATCACAGATTTGCCACGGGACATTCCTAAAACAGAAAGAAAACTAATCAACATTCACAACATTGATAGTATACAAGACAATATAGAATACAATAGTATTCTGGATAGCAGGGACCATATGCCCAAGCAAGCTTCAATAGCACCCATATTTTCTCCAAATAACATGAATAACTACTCTTTTAGGCTTTACACATTTTAAAGAATCTCCAACAAGTACCACTTCTACACACATTTGTTAAACCACCGAGTGGGCCATGGGCCATTGCCACTTTTCGGGATGGGGTGGGGCTAGTCCAGCACTCCTATGCCACCCCATCCTCACTGTCACCCTGCCCACACATCTTCCCAGTATCTGTGACCCTGCTGCTTTGGAGGTCAGCTCTGTGGGGGCTTCCTGCTTGCATGGCCACTCCTACTATTCACACAATACAGTAACTGTAAAGCGACACCTCACAGCTTACATGACCCTTCTTCCATTGGGGTCCTGGGTTGAAGGGAAGCAATTTGCCTGCCAGTCTCTCTGCTATCAACTTTTGCTGACAGCCCTCAGTTCCTGTGCTTGGGCTTTTCGTTTGCTTGTAAATGTCTATAAAGGAGATCCCTCCTGGTCTGTCCTATCACCCACACACTGGACACCCACTTTTACTAGGAAGGTAATGACGGCAAAAGTAAATATTCAAAGTTTAAGAAATCATACAAACGTTTTCAATTTGCATAACTTACACAGGTTGCATAATTGAGCTTTAGTTGCTATTAGATAATGTGTCCAGGTCTGGCGTATGCATGTACTTTAGGAAAGATTACTACACACAGTGGTATTGAAAGGCAGTTAATTCCTGCCAAGAAGATCTGAAGATGGAGGAGGAAAGCCAGCACTCAATCAAAAGGACTAGACCAGCAATCACCAACCTGGTGCCCTCCAGCTATACTGGACAACAACTCCCATCAGCATTAGCCACCTAAGTTGGGCTTGCTGGGGGTGATGGAAGATGCAGTCCAATAAAGCTCTAAGGCACCAGACTGGTGAAAGTTAGAGTGGATGTTTTAGTTGGTAAGTCTTAAAACATATACTTCCACATGGCACACTCCACCTACCCTTGTTCTGAGTTCACAATAACACCACCGGGTCTACCGCTAATCACTTTTCAGCACCACTCCTATCAGCCTATTAGGGCTTCAGTAAACTGTTAATTGGGATATATTTGAGCCTAGGAATTGCCACACTTATGCCAGTGGAAGAAGCGGGTGGTGCATAAAACTCCAACTGACTATAAAAATAATGTTTGAGGATTCTAGTTGCAGCTTCTGCAAGTACAGCTGCCAAAAATAGAAGCCAGAATTCACATTGTTTTGTTGGCACACATCAGCAAAACTATGAGAAGCTTCATTCCGACAGAACATAAGAGACAACAAAGTTCCAAAATGCTTGTATCTCTGATGACTAACCAGGAAGAGATCCAGAGAGAGAGCTTGGGTGAGGAACGTAGCCCAGTGGTACAGAAGCTGGTCCATGTGCGACATAGTCATTGCTCATGGTTTCTCCATCCCCTTTCATGCGCTGACACAATACCCTCTGGCAAACAAAGTACATGGCACCAACCAAAAAAACTGTGAGAATCACACCAATGATAGAACCTATTGTATTGGTGGCTTGCGGGGCTGGTTCCTCTGTTGTGTCTAAAAGTAAGGAGATAACAAATACACATTTTAAATAACTTGAACCTTAGAGTCCTGCCACTCTATACGATTACAATAATCTTTATTGTCATTGTCCCATACGGAACAACGAAATTGAAAAATCTACATAAAACATTCAAAACCCAACAAGCCTGCTATGCCAGCTATCCCAACCTGGTTAGCCCCCTAAAAACTCTGATACCCCATTTTAACTACAATAACTCCCATAGAGACTCCTTAAAGGTAAAGGGACCCCTGACCATTAGGTCCAGTCGTGACCGACTCTGGGGTTGCGGCGCTCATCTAGCTTTACTGGCCGAGGGAGCCGGCGTACAGCTTCCAGGTCATGTGGCCAGCATGACTAAGCAGCTTCTGGCGAACCAGAGCAGCGCATGGAAACGCTGTTTACCTTCCCACCGGAGCGGTGCCTATTTATCTACTTGCACTTTGACGTGCTTTGGAACTGCTAGGTGGGCAGGAGCAGGGACTGAGCAACGGGAGCTCACCCCATCGTGGGGATTCAAACCACCGACCTTCTGATCAGCAAGTCCTAGGCTCTGGGGTAGAAACTGTTTCTCAGGCGGTTAGTCCTAGTTTTATAACCCTGTACCTTCTTCCAGAAGGCAGAAGCTGAAAGAGATCATTTCCGGGGTGCACACTATCCTGCGCTATCTCTGCAGCTATCTTATGGCACCTGGAAGCATAGATTTGATCCAAGGTGGGAAGAGTGCACCCAATTATTCTCTCCGCAGTCTTTACAACCCTAGACAGCATTGTTTTTTCCCTGACCATGAGCTCCCAAACCACACACACAGACCACAAGTTAATACACTCTCAACAGTACAATGGTAAAATGCCATCAACAGGTCCTTTGAGAGATTGTTTTTCCAGGGGATTCTCAGAAAATATAACCTCTGCTGTGCTCTCTTCATCAAGGTCTTTGCTGTTTTCTCCCCAGGTTAGGTCATCTCTCACCTCCATTCCCAGAAATTGAATACCTTGATCCCTTATGAATCTTAACTTGCCACACATCTTTAGTGGGAGATGTAGGATGTGATGAAATATCTGCTCCTAGCTTAAGTGAGAAGTGAGGTAGCAAGAAACTGATGGGATTAATGGAATTGTACAGAGATGCTTGAAAGGGGACATTTTAGCTCTCCTGAGAATGGATAAAAGTATTCTCTAACTAGATGATGAGAGTTAAGAGCTGAAGCACATGCCTTTGGGATTGTTGCAAAAATGGCATTGTGCAGCTGTACCATTAAAATCCTACTGCATGGATGGTCTCAACCATGTGGGAAGTCTTCGTGTCCTAGTCTGTCAGGAAGGTTGAGCAGGAAGACTAATTCTTTCCACATGATAAGAGCCATCTGCATGGTAGAGAGTCTGTGAGGTGTAGCTAGGGGTAAAGAATGTGATATACGGATGCTGTCTGGTTCCTAATTCTGTTTATTCTGTTCATTCTCTCACTTCAATTCCAGAATAACAGCAGCGTAAGCTATTTATCTTTATTTCAACTAATATAAAGCTAACTTCTATCATTTGTATTCTACAAGCAAGATAACTTATGAACTGTATCAAAATAATAGTTGTTTTGTATTTAAACTTCATACTTACAGCATCCCTGTTCATCAGAGCTATCACTGCAGTCAAAGTTGTGGTCACATTTCTTGTTTTTCCCAATGCACTGCCCACTGGCACATCGGAACTGATCTGTTAAACAAAGCACTGGAGGAGGATAAAAGCAAACATGTGTTTACTTAGTATCACAAATTTCTGAAACAACTAGCCAAATGCTCAGCATAAAAATCAAGATAATGAATAGTATCAAAGCCTATCATTATGAGAGTTCTAGATCAGGAGGCAAATCAAGCCTATTTGACTTGAACAATGTACAAATTTGAGGCCCTGGGGGCTCTGGCAGGTGACTGCTTTTTGTAGCAGGTGTAAATAGGGAGAATCAATAAGAGCCTAATCCACCTTCTCTAGAGACTCTCCAGCAATTCAGAAACCACTATTGTAGCCCACTATATGTTACCTAAAACCTCAAGCATGTGAGGAACAGGCTAGTCTCCACTAGCAGAAGAAGAGAGCAGAGTTGGCTCTTGAGAGAGAGTGCGAGAGATAAAAATCACTCTTGTTTTCTAGCTCTCCCTTCCTCCATCCATTTCAGAAAATTTCATAAAGGAAGAAGGGACAAAGGGAGTTGCCAATGGGAAGAGGGCAGGTATCACTCCTCACAAGTCAGAGAGTCTATGGCACTGAATGCAAAATTCAGCTTCTCAAGAATTTGAGTTTTGCAAATTTTAAATCCTTTGGGCTGTAAATATATGCTTAAAAGTGTGAGCCGGGGGCTGGGGACTGAAAGGCTTCCAATGCTTGTCCCATGTGACTCCTTGCTTTTCCCAACAGCAAACAAAATTGGAATACACAAACTGGTAAAATTACAGAACAGGAACTATGCAAATTCACTCAATTTGCAAGGTTTCAGTAAGTTTCATAATTCAGTTTCTCTCAGTAAAGAAACTGGATTTCCTAAGCTCAGAATTGTACTTCTTATTGCTGCACAGAATACATACAGCAGTAGGTATCTGTTAGAACAGACAATTCATTCTAAAGAGATTTTCCTTGTTTGAAATACGTATATCAAGATTGTTTAAAAAGTTGCCACTGTTCCTCTTCCTTTTCATCTCCAAATCAATTTTCCAGTTTCTTTCATGAGCTGGAAAAATTAATACCTTCACATTTCTTTTCATCTGAGCTATCCTGACAATTTGCTTCTCCATTGCACTGAAGGATACTGTCAATGCACTGGCCACTCTCGCACTGGAACTGGGACTCTGAGCACATGGGGCAGTTCTTTTCATCACTGGCATCTTCACATTCAGTGAACCCATCACAGCGCCAAGCCGCAGGAATACAGTCAATCTCCCCTGTGAAACATGTGAAGTGCTGAGGAGAGCATGTTGGTGGTTCTGTTACGAAAAAGTTTGGGGTTTTTTCAGAAGAATGAAACTGTGAAGTAACAGCACATAAACGTCTGATCAAGTGTCAAAAATATCTATGGGAAGATAGAAGCCATATTTATGGAAAACCAAAACTAAGGCTCTGCTTGAATTGTGAACAACCAACCTCTGCCTCTCCCACTGCAATGACTGAACTTTGGTGATGCAATGATGTATAGTCAAACTAAACTCCGGAATCTACACAGCAGAACAGAAACAGCCTCTAATGTAATGTCTTTTCTACTCAAGATCTACATGGTTTCAAGAGCAATAGACACTCCGGGTTCAAAACAAAATCAGTGTTAAATAATAAAAAAAATTGCAACCTAGTGCTGATAATGGGTCTATTTATATTTTGTTATTTTGTCCCTGGGATTATCCTCAAGGAGATATTGTGAGGATGCCTGACTCACCCCATCCCTCCCTCCTACTGCCCCTCCCAGCCGCTCTCACTATGGTTTTGAAAGTGCCACAACCAAAGAAAGAAGGCAGATTTCAATCTGAGGAGGGAGTGGGCAATCCCATGTCCAGCTACACAACTCTTTGTAAAATCTTCCCTCTCTGTCTCTCCTCCCTTTGTTTTAAAACGAGAAATCCACTAGCCTGTTGTCAAGCTATGGCACAGATGAGTTGTACTTTGGGCCATTTGGATATATAAACTGAAAGCCATGAGCCATTACTCTTATGCCAACTAGCATACAAACTTTGCAGTATTTTAGGGTACTTCTGGGCAATACAGTAAATGAAATACTTGGTTATAAACAGGGCAACAGTTGCTTTGTTGGGCACTGTTGGGAACAACAAGCACTTGGGTCTAATCTGCTGAGTTGTGTCTTTTCTACTCATCTCACTAGGCCAGTGGTAGGCAACCTAAGGCCCAGGGGCCAGATGCGGCCCAATCGCCTTCTCAATCCGGCCCACAGACGGTCCGGGAATCAGCATGTTTTTACATTATTAGAATGTGTCCTTTTATTTAAAATGCATCTCTGGGTTATTTGTGGGGCCTGCCTGATGTTTCTACATGAGTAGAATGTGTGCTCTTATTTCAAATGCATCTCTAGGTTATTTTGGGGGAATAGGAATTCATTCATTTTTTTCTCCAAAATATAGTCCGGCCCACCACATGGTCTGAGGGACTGTGGACTGGCCCACAGCTGAAAAAGGTTGCTGACCCCTGCACTAGGCTGTTAAGTTCACACACACACACACACACACACACACACACACACACACGAATCCTCCTTTGCCTCTGCTAGGTGTTCCATGCCCAATAAGTGCCTTTGCTTGGTGGCGCTGTGGTCTATAGACTGCAGAAAAATACTGGGCAAGGTTTTGCCCACTATCCTCTCTGTGCAATGGCTCATGGGGAAAAACTGTACTATGAGTCCTTGCAAGGGGGAGGGAGAAAGCCTATATAAGGCTGCTTTCCCTGGAACTCAGAGCCATTTTGCTTTGAGAGCATCCTGCCTGCCCACCCTCAGGTTAGAGCCTACACTGAGCAATTTTGGGTTGCTGGTTGACAGGGCCAGAAAGGATTCCTGCCCCCCTCAACCTGATTGGCACTTCGTTGGGCTTCCCTCCCCACTTTCCCTCAGTGAAATTATGGCCTTCCTTTGTTAGGTGGAAGAACATTGTTTGTATGAGGGTGTTAATGGCACTGGACAGGATCAACACAGGGGCCTGAGGGGGGATTGACCAAGCTTGGGTTGGGTATCTGCCTGGTTGGAATCTGCACCCTGGTCCCCCAGTGAGATCTTGCTTGCTTGGCTTGCACCACGGGAACGTTCAACACTGGCCAACTCCTATGGAACAGGTTTGGAGTAGTCCAAACCCAGTGGATTCATTCCATCAATATGGGGCTTGTGGAATTATGAACTGATCCTAGTAAGTTTTGGCCTGATTTTATCCCATCACTGTTGTACAGTCTGGTTATTTTGCTGCTCTTATGGGTCATATAATGCCTGGGCAATAAGCTCCTTATTATGCCTTTATGTTTCAGTTGGACATGAAGAGTTCTGTTTTTAGTGCAATCCAGTTGTGTTCATGAAGGCAGCTCATGTTCCAATGTTCTACAATAAGTCTATATGAAAACATTAAAAAGGGATATAATGTATAGCAGATGGGTGCACCACAGTGACTCAGTGTCTAGTTATGTGCTTTCTATAAATGCATTCAATAGGTCTTGTTTCAGAGTGAGGGCTTTTTAAGCTCCTTCCAGTCACCACCACAATCTCAATGCAGCTGTTCACACCTAGGACTCAGCTATACAACTGCAAATAAAACATTTCAAGTGTGTTTTAAGTGAAATATACAATGTGACACTAGATGGTGATGCTGAGCCTTATAGAAAATTCAATGTATTTTTAAAAACACTTTAAAAAAAAACATTTTCAGAACGGTTTTTATTTGTGTGTAGATTCCACCCTAGTTAGCAAACTGTAGTTACTATTGATAGAATGGAGCATAAATTTGGAGATATCTATTTTTCTCTTTCTCACATACCCTTACATTTTAGCATAGCATTAAATGTCTAGGAAAGCATTGCTGAAATACCCTTGTTCTAGGATGTAGACATGTTTGCTGTGGAAATAAGCTCTAATTCACATTGGTTTAACACTTCAAAATCCTCACACTTTCTCTGTAAGGTCAGAGGCAGAGAAAATGTAACCCAAATGTCTAGCCTTGGACTGCAGAGGCATCTCTCTTAACAATGGTTTGGAGCAAGATGCAAGCTTGTGCACTCCTTCTTCCCTCTTTAGTACAAATCTTTCCCCCACCCCACCCCAAGCCAGCTCTGTTTTAATCATGATTTAGAATGATATGATTTTAGTCGTGGTTAGCACTACCTGGGCTTCCCACTTCCCGCCACTTTGACGTGCTTTCGAACTGCTAGGTGGGCAGGAGCTGGGACTGAGCAACGGGATCTCACCCCGTGGCGGGGCTTCGAACCGCCGACCTTCTGATCGGCAAGCCCTAGGCTCAGTGGTTTAGACCACAGCACCACCTGCATCCCTCCGTGTATTGACTTATATAGGGGGAATGATGCCACTTAAAAATGGAAACAAAATATAAAGAAGCTTTACCTCCACAAGAAAGTTCATCCTGAAGCAAGACAAGGTGCACAGGGCAGGAACAACGTGTCGTTCCATCACCTTTGACAATGCAAATGTGTGAGCAACCACCGTTATCTTGGGAACAGGGGTGCTGTCCTACGGAGCAAAATAAGAGTGGAAACTTATTCATGTATTAAACTGTTTTTAAAAAATAAAATACAGCATATTTCAGTGGTTTCCAAATTATATTCAAGGTAACCCTACGGCTCATTAGGAGTTTACTGGGGGATCCCTCAATGGTAGTGAACAACATAACAAAGAAACCAACAAAATCTTAACCATGTATGATATGGGCCATTTAGTTTTTCTTCCCTATTATGTTGCTTGACACTTACTGTACTCCTGTATGTTGAGTTCCTTAACAGCATGAATATCGCTGAGCTGGGTAATACGAGCCTGAACTTTCATACGTCCCTCTCGAAGTGTTGTGTCAATCTTTTCAATCATCTGTTGATGTCTGTCTATCCAGTACAGCCAGTTTTCAAACACAGTCAGCCCTACTGGTTGTAGTATGTTGGTATCTTCTAAGACTATCCGATTGGCTCCTATGGAGTGGAGAAGAAATATAGTTGAAAAATGTGGCAACAAGGGTTCAATGAGAAATAATGCACCAAGTTACTACTCACTGCCCCCACTCACGTGTTTGGTTGGTCTTCCAAGGAGAACGTCACCTCATGAAATCACCCCATCCAAAACGTATTACAAGTCTCTATCCAGATGAACACATTTCCCATCTTAATATCTGGATTACATTAGTTTTGGGCTGAAAGGAAGCAAGCAATCTCCATACCTGTTCAGGATTCCTCACAGCCTCCCTCAGACAAACAAGAGGAAAAGATGCGTCCTGAGGCACCCCAATGGCCAACAGCCAGAAGGCCTCAACACCCCCTGTATGCTATATGTAAACTCTAGATTACAAGACACTGTGCCACTGAATACCAACCGCCAGGATTCAGCAGTGGGAGACAGCTTTTGCCCTCAACCTTACAGATTTCCCAAAGACATCTGGTGGGCCACTGTGGGAAACAGAATGCTGTACTAGGTGAACTGCTTGTCTGATCCAGGACAGTGGCTGGGTGGCTGTGGGTGTGTAAAACCTGTCTTTCTAATATACATGTTGAATTACATAACTAATATGTAGCAGATCCTACCACTTATCAACAATTAATACAGTGGTACCTCGGGACGCGGGTGGCGCTGTGGGTAAAAGCCTCAGCGCCTAGGGCTTGCCAATCGAAAGGTCGGCGGTTCGAATCCCCGCGGCGGGGTGCGCTCCCGTTGCTCGGTCCCAGCGCCTGCCAACCTAGCAGTTCGAAAGCACCCCCGGGTGCAAGTAGATAAATAGGGACCGCTTACTAGTGGGAAGGTAAACGGCGTTTCCGTGTGCTGCGCTGGCTCGCCAGATGCAGCTTTGTCACGCTGGCCACGTGACCCGGAAGTATCTGCGGACAGCGCTGGCTCCCGGCCTCTTAAGTGAGATGGGCGCACAACCCTAGAGTCTGTCAAGACTGGCCCGTATGGGCAGGGGTACCTTTACCTTTACATTTACCTTGGGTTAAGAACTTAATTTGTTCCGGAGGTCCATTCTTAACCTGAAGCACCACTTTAACTAATGGGGCCTCCTGCTGCCGCCGCGCCATTGCTGCGCAATTTCTGTTCTCATCCTGAAGCAAAGTTCTTAACCCGAGGTACCACTGTAATTAAATATAGAGCAACACACCTCACTGCATGCCAATTACATGAAGTTGTTCAATTTACCACAGGCTATCATGTGGGGGACTTGTGTGAGGGAAAACTTAATGATTTAGAATCTCAGGCAGCAGCTGATCAAGCAAACAAGAAAAGTTTTATTAAAAAAGAAGATTGTGAAACAAAACAGGTCAGGAAATGTGTTCTTTCAAGTACAGTGGTGCCCCGCAAGACGAATGCCTCGCAAGATGAAAAACTCGCTAGGCGAAAGGGTTTTCCGTTTTTTGAGTCGTTCCGCAAGACGAATTTCCCTATGGGCTTGCTTTGCAAGACGAAACGTCTTGCGAGTTCTTGCGAGTTTGTTTCCTTTTTCTTAAAGCCGCTAAGCCGTTAATAGCCGCTAAGCCGTTAATAGCTGCTAAGCTAATAGCCGCTAAGCCGCTAATAGCCGTGCTTCGCAAGACAAAAAAACCGCAAGACGAAGAGACTCGCGGAACGGATTAATTTCGTCTTGTGAGGCACCACTGTAGAAGTTAACTTATTACTAAAACGAGGTAAAAAGATGACACAGGCTTAAACACAATTCTATGGGTATAGCTCTTCTTAAACTTTAGCTTCTGTTACTTAGTTTTGGCAGTTAAATAATTTTAAAGCAGCCCAGCTTCCCTCCTAGGTTAAGACCTTAGCTGACGAGTGAGGGGCACTTTCCCTCACTTTCCACTCTCTTCACAACCTGAGGTATTCCCAATGGTCTCACAGACCCAGGGGGTCCCCTCCCCCCTTGTTCCTGGGAGTCTTCTGGACCCGGAAGAACTCTCCCTCCTGGCTGGACGGAGACCCAGGGAGCCTGAATTCCCACAGCTTCCACCTCCCAGAACACGCCTGAGAGTCTCCTCTTGCTCCAGATGGTCTCCTCAGGGTGGGTGCTTAACTCAACTCAGAACCAGGTCTCCCTCAGTCAAATCCTATCCTACTCCCTAGCTCTGAAATCCAGCCCTATCTCTTCTCAAATCCAGCCATATCTATCTTCTCAACCTTCCCTGAACCTAGCCTTATCTATCTATCTATCTATCTATCTATCTATCTATCTATCTATCTATCTATCTATCTATCTATCTATCTCCCTCACAAACGGCTCCTTTTATTCTCCCTCTAGCTGACTGTGTAGCCAATCAGAGAGAGGCGCCAGCCCTCTGGTGGAATAAGACTAGATCTTAGAGAAATTTATATTTTTATGCTCATACGATTGTTGCCCACGGCCTTGACAAATTTATAGTAACAGTATTAATAAAATAACGCAGATCATACACCCATGACAACATTTATGATGTAAGAGAGAAAAGTTACCAAAGACACCAACAAATGCAAATCCAGCCTGATTTCATATTGAACCTCCCAATCACCACAACAATTTATAGTGGTTTTATTTAATTCCTTTTCCTTGTTTTTATTTTTTTGACAGCCAGTGCATAGGGGGCCACTTTGCATGTCACAAAGCTATTATTGTCTCTCAAAAGAGACAATCAGGACCATTTTTGTGGGGGTGTACTTGCTTGCTTGTGCAAATGGAAGTTTCAGAAGGCCATCTCTTGGGTCTGTAGAAATTGCTATACCGCTGAATACTGATGTTGAAATGACATCATGATAAGGCATATTGCCTGGTTGAAACACTTGAGTGAAATATGAACAAAAGGTGGAGGATGACAGCTTCCCTGGGGACAGCTCAGCTGAACTTTTCTTGAGAGCAGGCACCATCTCTCCCTGCTCCTCCCTCCTCTCGTGATGACAATAAGCCCTCACCTGTAAACTTACACAAACCAGCACAAACGCTTTAAGCTGAACTGCCTGCTCTCACCCCCAAAACTCTTCAGCACTTAGCTAATTGTGCAGAGCCTGCTAACAATCCAGGAAGAACCCCCCACGGCTAGACAATCAAAGATCCACACCCATGAGGGGGGAGTATTTTGATTTTCTGGTGGTGTTTACGTTGTTGGTTCCCAATAAATAGCTACCCTTCATATTAAAAATGAAGGTTTTTAAATTTTATTTAAAGGAGGCTATCTCTTTGCTTGAAGGGACACAGGTAGCGCTGTGGGTTAAACCACAGAGCCTAGGACTTGCCAATCAGAAGGTTGGCGGTTCGAATCCCCGCCATGGGGTGAGCTCCCGTCGCTCGGTCCCTGCTCCTGCCAACCTAGCAGTTTGAAAGCACGTCAAAGTGCAAGTAGATAAATAGGTACCGCTCTGGCGGGAAGGTAAACGGCATTTCTGTGCGCTGCTCTGGTTCACCAGAAGCAGCTTAGTCATGATGGCCACATGACCCGGAAGCTGTACGCCGGCTCCATCGGCCAATAAAGCGAGATGAGCGGCGCAACCCTAGAGTCAGTCACAACTGGACCTAATGGTCAGGGGTCCCTTTACCTTTACTATCTCTTTGCTTGCTTGCCCTCCCTCCCTCCCCTTTGAGATGGGGTTTTTTTTGGGGGGGGTCCTTCTGTGGCAGGGGGAAATGGAGGAGGAAGATTTAACTAGCGGCCTTATGCTGAAATAGGAGGTTGGGTACTATGTGACATGAGGTGAGAATGATGGGGAGAGTGTTTGTCAGTAAGCAGTGCAAGAAAATGTGTCTCTACTCACAAGCAAGCCCTGCTGAATTCAATGGGGCCTATTCCACTTAGACCTCTGAGTACGGAAACAGATGCAACTTGAACTACTCTTAATTTAGTTGAAAATATATTAAATATATTATATGGAAGTTTATTTAATATTTTTATTAAATTAACTACTTACTTAAATTGTAAAAATGCCCACAAAATTGCATAGAGGCGCAGAGTTCCACGCGACATTGGGGGGGGGCTCACTGCATGCACATGACGTCACACACATGTAACATTACACATGTTGGGAGGAGGCTGTGAGGCCCAGGGGAGGCCCAGCTGGGGCCGGCCCCTCAACATGGGGGGGGGGCACTCAGCCCCATCCCAGCATACTTTGGGGCACTGAACTGTCCTCAGACCCATGAAGTTGGCATGTATGAGTTGAAGCATGCTATCAAACATCATGATATACTGAAAAATCATGATGTTTAGCTGGTGGTATATTGCGATGCTGAAAACCAAATATTGCCCAGCCCTAGGGGACAGGCTAACAGATAATGAGTGTTGACCTGAAGTTGACTACAAATACACGCTCTGTCTGTGGAGAAGACCTTGTATATATAGCAGCCATCCAAGACTGCAATGGGCATCACTTGGAAATGCAGCTCAATATAAGCACTTGCTAAGGAAAACAGTGAGAGTTTGGTCAGATAATGAACTCTAAAATACTGTTTTCAGGAGTGGATACCAAGGGAAAAATTTGGTGTTTCCAATTAGTTGTAGGTCCGTTCTAGATTCTAGCCAGAAGATCCAATCCATCCCTTAGTTAACACTCTCAAGATTAATGCAGAGCTCAGTCCTGGAAAATAATAATAGTCTAAAACATATTGATAAGCTGCTTTACAGAGCTGGTTATCACCCAATTCCATAGAGCTTAGCGCAAGAAAATGCTCAATGGGCACACTAGCAATCCTTTTAGTACAGTGGTACCTCTGGATGCGAATGGGATCTGTTCCAGAGCCCCGTTCGCATCCTGACGTGAACACAACCCTCGCCTGCAGGTCGCGATTCGCCGCTTCCGCGCATTTGTGTGACGTCATTTTGAGTGTCTGTGCATGCGGCAAAACCCGGAAGCAACATGCTCCGTTACTTCCTGGTCGCCACGGAGCGTAACCAGAAAATGCTCAACCTGAAGCATGTTTAACCCGAGGTATGACTGTATATTTAAACTGAGCGTAATCTGCTCTTGCCTCACAGAAATTTCTGCAAATTCACTACAATGAAAATATAAAGAGGAAAGGGGAAACCAGCAATGGAGCAAGAGAGAATACCCATTCCTTCCTACCAGTTTATGAAATACTTACAACACTGATTAAAATTGGTAAAAGGAAGTTGTTGTTTTACTCTACCTGAAAGGTCACTGCTCTCAATTTTCCGGAGGTCAAAATCTGCCCAGAATAACTTCCCCAACTGGTTGTCAATTGCCAAGGCTACAGGCTTGCTCAGTCCACTGGAAAATAAGACCTCACGTTCAGTTCCATCTAGTGCAGCCCTTTCTATTTTAGGAGGAGACCTCTCTTGGTGATTGGTGAAATACATGTACCTATAAAAACAGAGTTAGATCATTTATGTCCTTTTCTTAAAAGCTGTCCTTCCCCATATATTTATTTATGGAGCATAATATCTAAGATGTTGACATTACCGTATTTTTCGCCTATAGGACGCACCTAGATTATTGGGGGGGGGGGAAATAAAGGGGAAAAAATTATTCCCCCCCCCCAGGCGTGAGGCTGGGGCGGGGGAAGCCCGAGCTTCCCCCGACCCCAGCTCCCAGAACAGGAAGCTCTCCGCAAGCCCGAGCTTCCCCCGACCCCAGCCCCCAGAACGGGACCCAGAGCGATGCCGAAGCTGCGCACAGCTTTGGCATCGCTCTGGGAGCTTGCGGGGGAGGGGGAAGCCCTCTGCCAGCCTCCAAACCAGGTCGGGAGACAGCGGGATGGCGCGCTGCGCCTCTCCCACTGTCCCCTGAGTTTGCGGGACTGGCAACGGGGAGGAGCAGGCTTCTCCCCCCTGCCAGCCTTCTAACCAAGTCGGGGGACAGCGGGATGGCGGCGTTCCGCCTCCCCGCTGTCCCCCGAGCTTGTGGGGCTGGCGATGGGGTTCTCCTGAAGCCTGGAGAGCGAGAGGGGTCGGTGCGTACCGACCCCTCTCGCTCTCCAGGCTTCAGCGAAAGCCTGCATTCGCCCCATAGGACGCACACACATTTCCCCTTCATTTTTGGAGGGGGGAAAGTGTGTCCTATAGGGCGAAAAATACGGTATATATATTTTAAAGTTGTACTTCCCTGATCCAATAATGATCAATGTCAAATTTCATAACAGCTATCCCCTAACTATTCAACTATAGCAATCTCTCTCATTTCCCCCCCACCCAGTTTTCCTCTCTCTTACACAGCCACACTCCCCACTGCCATCCCTCTACCAGTCTCTAAGTCCACCCAACATGTCATTCCACTCTGCTGTCAACCGTTCTTCCATTAGTTACTCTGTCTCACAGAAGCACCTTCTATTTCAAAAAGGTGAGCTGATGAAAAAGAGAACCTGGCGCTTTAATTGCTGAGTTTTAAGCATGTATATTCCATGCAACACTCTACCTACCCTTTTTCTGGGTTCACAACAATGGCCCTGGGCCGATCCTGATCTCCTTTCAGCACCACCCCCATCAGCCTTCCATCCAGGCGTGTAACATTGATTACATTTGTGGCTTCACAAGTCCAATAAACATAACGACTGTAGATGTCAATACTCAGATCATAGGGTTGTATGTCTAGGTTCTGATTTGGAACTGGACTCATCACAACCGTAAAGCTCTGGGGTGGGAAGAAAAAGATTGAAGACTGATCCAAGGAAGCAACCAGAAGAGAATTAGCCACACAATGCAGAATTACTATATGAAAGCAATGGCTTTACAATAATTCTGAGCCTCAAAGTTCCTTGGCTCAAGTTACAGCCAAGCGTTGAAACAGAATATAATAATAATGTTCTTTCTTTCTCTCTCTCTCTCTCTCTCTCTCTCTCTCTCTCCCACCCATTTGGATGGGTTGCCCCAGCCATTCAGGGTGGCTTCCAACACATTTAAAAGCATAATAAAACCTCAAACATTAACAATCTGATACAATACAAAAAGTCACATAAACTTATATCAAATAGGGCGGTTTAGAAAGCAAGCAAGCAAGCAAGATTCAATAATCCATGAAAAGTGCAGCACTTCTCATTTTCATGCTTCTACTGTAATTCCAATAGAGAGAGATTGCTGTGTCAGCTGTATGTGGTTCCCACAGTTGGTGCCATGTATCTATCCATGCATGAGTTCATTTTTGAATATAACAGGAAATGTTTCCCAATTTAGTGCGTGTTGAAGCATTTGAATGCACCCCTGCTGTTGTCTTTTATTTCATTTCATTTCATTTTAAAGTGAACAAGGAAGTAAAATAGCTGTCCAGATAAATGCAGTCTTTGATATTTAATTCACCAGGTTGGCACTGTTTGTAACACACAATCTACAGTTAATATTCAGGTATCAGAAGGAAGTTTAGTACATATATTCAGAATATTTAAACATCAGCTTGACTTCTCATGCCCATTTTAATAGGGACAGAAAAAAATATAACATATACTGTGGTTCTACTTCTAAAGCAAGGTCTCTCAAATGTTGTATTTTACTAGTTTTGTGGGATGTCTGTTCACAAATCTACAGCATTTGTGCTAATTTTAGCTAATTCGCCAAAGACTCATAAAACTAAGAGACAGGTAGGTTTGAAAAATAATATGATCTCCTCCTCAAAATTGAGGTATTCCTACTATTTACATCTGTTCTCCATCTATGACCATATTCCACTAGCAAACATGTACTCGGTAGATTTTAGTATACAAAATTCATTTATAAAATATTTAGAACATGAATACCATTTTAAAGATCCCTATTCCTCCCCCCCCCCCACTTTGGAAACCCAAAGAACCCGCACTTAAGATACCTGACTGCCATCCTCCTGTGACCTCCTGATAATGTTTTGCCGAGAGTCAATCCAGTACAGGTGCTTGTCTACAGGGTCATAGTCAATGGCTCGGATGTTCCTGAGGCTATGGATTGGAAGGATAATATCTGGACTCTGCTGCTCATCTATCACCATGCGATTTATTGCATTCTTCTGACTGAAGAGCAGGAAACTGGTAGGGGCTTAAACATAAATACAAAAAAGCCAACCGGTCATTTTCAAAAACAATTATTAAACTATTCATTTAACAAAAACATGTTTATGCTACTTAGCAAATTAGGGCTGCTATCTTTAATTAATTGGCAAAAACAAAACAAAACTAACTAAACAGCGAGGGGTGTGTGACATACAAATTGTTTTTCACACACAATTTTTTAAATCTATTTTGCTCTGGATATCTTGATAGTCTCCATTATGGCTTTAGTATTAAGAATTAAGCTCAAATCTTAAATTCAAGCATGTTGTCAGTCATGAACTTGCTGGCTAGCCTCCAACAAGGCTCTAGGCTCCCTGAGTTCTGCAATCTGAAATATAGGTATATTACTAGTGGCCTATGCTTAGTGTTAGGATTAGAGAACTAATTCATACAATGTGTTTTGAGCATTTAGGGAAACAACTAAACAGAAAATTACTGAGTTTTTCAGCCATGAATAAAAAACAAAAAGCCTAACACATGCAACCTATATTCAAATCTTGCATGATTCAAGCTATATCAACAAACCTGTCTATGTTACAAGTGGAAATGGCTCAGTATTTGGCATATTCCTGCTCCATCCACTACAGCTATAGCTCATTTTGGTTTGAATTTTGAACATTACTGTAATATTTGAGACAAACCACGAAAACATAGCCCTTTGCCCTCTGCACCACCTAACTGTGTTTATGGCTTACCACTACACGTTCTGTTGTCAGAATTCAAGGAATAGTGAGCTGGACATCCGCAGACAAAACCACCAACAGGCACTGCCAAGCAGAGGTGGGAACAATGCCCATTACTGGAGGCACATTCGTTCCAGCCCGCTTGACGAGATGAATGGAATACTAGGATATCCATCACATAATCCAAGTGGTTTTGGATGACAGTTCTGTTTTGGCCACTGGTCTTGTTGGCACGTTCAATGCTTCGCCGGCTCCAGTCTGTCCAATAGATGTAATCCTGGTACTGAGTCAGACCAAATGGATGAGGCAAGTCATCTGCTATAACGTCACGGTCAAGACCTGTTTTAGAAAGAAAAATATATACTGATGTCAAGATTTCCCCACCTCTCCCACACTCGGAAGGACAGTTGTAATCAAATGCATCTACAGTAACTCATAGATATAATGAACATAAGAGCCAGTGTGGTGCAGTGATTAGCTAGTAGGACTACAAGTTGGGAGCTCAGTTTCAAATTTGCACTCAGTTTCAAACCTACGCTGCGTAACCTTGATACAATCACTAACCTACCTCACAGGGTTGCTGCAAGGACAATGGGAAGAAGGAGAATAATGCATGCCACCCTGAGCTCCTTTTGATAAACAAGTATTACCGTATTTTTCGCTCCATAGGGCGCACCGGACCATAGGGCGCACCTAGCTTTTAAGGGGGGGGGGATCAAGAAAAAAAATCTTAGCCCCATGCCATAGCCCCATGCAGCCTCTTCCTGCTGGAGGGGGGATCAAGAAAAAAAATCTTAGCCCCATGCCATAGCCCCATGCAGCCTCTTCCTGCTGGAGGGGCTGCACGCGGCTATCCCTGAAGCCTTCCGAGCGCAGAATCTCCTGGCTTCAGCGAAAGGAACCTGAAGCCTCCAGAACGCAGCGGGAACTTGCACCGTGCTCGGAAGGCTTCAGGCGGCTATCCCTGAAGCCTGGAGAGCGAGAGGGGTTGGTGCGCACTGACCCCTCTAGCTCTCTAGGCTTCAGCGAAAGCAACGCGAAGCCTCCCGAGCGTGGAGGGAGCACTTCCTCTGCACTTTGGAGGCTTAGCGTTGCTATCGCTGAAGCCAAGGAGCCTGCATTCGCTCCATAGAACGCACACACATTTCCCCTCAATTTTTGGAGGGGAAAAAGTGCATCCTATAGAGCGAAAAGGGACGCGGGTGGCGCTGTGGGTAAAAGCCTCAGCGCCTAGGGCTTGCCGATCGAAAGGTCGGCGGTTCGAATCCCCGCGGCGGGGTGCGCTCCCGTTGTTCGGTCCCAGCGCCTGCCAACCTAGCAGTTCGAAAGCACTCCCGGGTGCAAGTAGATAAATAGGGACCGCTTACTAGCGGGAAGGTAAACGGCGTTTCCGTGTGCGGCTCTGGCTCGCCAGAGCAGCGATGTCACGCTGGCCACGTGACCCGGAAGTGTCTCCGGACAGCGCTGGCCCCCGGCCTCTTGAGTGAGATGGGTGCACAACCCTAGAGTCTGTCAAGACTGGCCCGTACGGGCAGGGGTACCTTTACCTTTACCTTATAGAGCGAAAAATACAGTAAGTGAAACTTTGCAAATGAATGAATGGAGAATGAATGGAGAAATTTATGGGAAAACCTTTTAGTCACACCAGAACAAAGTAATTCTGACAATGTAAAAAGTTATATTCATAAATCTTTTTTCATAGGACAGTAATTTATGTCTATATAATACTAATGAATAACTGGTTGGTTCATGGCATTCAGACTTCAACTCTAATCTGGAGACTGTACATTTTGTAGGTGGGAGCACTTTTTATGTTTTCATTTTACAATAAATGTACATATCCCCTTTTCTGTCTCTCAAAAGCACCACAGTTCAAATCACTGCATACCATTAAAAACTAAGTAAGAAAACAAAATATGGGTCAGCAGAAAACAAAGGCACTAAATTAGTATCAGAACCAGTCAATCACAAAACAGGGACTGAAATAACTAACCATGAGAGCACACTGGAGAATGACAGTCTTCACAAGGCAATGAAACATCAAGAGGAATGGATCAGATACAGTAGATTGGAAGAGGGGGAAAGAGACAGCCAGCTAGCCGGCCAGTCAGATTTCACTGGAGACCTTAGCAGTTGGGTTTACTGGAGCAGGCAGTATTTTAAATACCCTGATCCCCACTACAGCTGACTTCAAGAACCCTAGCTAAACCAGCAAAAATGTACCTAGCATATTTGAAGACTCAATTAGGTTGGTATCCAAATCAGTCCAGTACAATCTTCTTTTAGCATAATCAATTGTCAGCCCATTAGCCCGTCCCACATTTGGCACCAATGTTGTACGTTCACTACCATCCATGGCAGCTCTGTCAATTTTGGGCTTTCCACCCCATTCTGTCCAGTACATGAATCTGAAAATATAGATCAAATATTCCATATTCATCTCATACAGAACTAAAGACAAAACATAGAAATATATCAGAACTATAATGCTTAAACATTTGTTTTAGCACACAACATAACTTTCATTTCTTTTGAGAGGTAAATAGTTTCACTGTACTGTGTATAATAGATCCCTAGGCTTAAATATTCACCCAGCCATTGCAAACAATGGGTAGCTTTGGGTAACTAATGACTCTCAGCCTAACTTACCTTACAGGGCTGCTGTGGACGATAAAGAAGGAATATATGTACATCGGTCTGAGTGTCTTAGAGGAAAAGTGGACTATACAGTAAGATCATGGAGGGCAGCAGGCAACGGAGCAGAGCAAGTGGTTCTCAAGCATGTTCCCCACAGACCACTTGAAAATTGCTGAGCGGTCTTGGCAGACCACCTAATGATTTTTCTGTTTGTTGTGGTAATTATAATCCACTATGCTGGATGCTGGATGATTTTAATTGTATTTTTATTGGTTGTTTTAGTTGTTATCAGTACTATTTTTTAGAAAAATAGGTGCTGGAACTCACCATGAACGCTTCCCTTGTTCTCTTATAATGGCAATGGAGCCCACCTGAGAGGGACCAGAACTGAGTTCTAGTGAGTTCCGGCTGAAAAAAAGCCCTGGTTATTATATTAAGTAAGGTACATTGTTTTTATTGGCACTCATCTTTTAATGGCTTTGCCTGAAAAATGTACAGTGGTACCTCGGGTTAATTACTTAATTCATTCCGGAGGTCCGTACTTAACCTGAAACTGTTCTTAACCTGAAGCACCACTTTAGCTAATGGGGCCTCCTGCTGCTGCCATGCCACCGGAGCACGATTTCTGTTCTCAACCTGAAGCAAAGTTCTTAACCTGAAGCACTATTTCTGGGTTAGCGGAGTATGTAACCTTAAGCGTATGTAACCTGAGGTACCACTGTATAGGGGAAATTCAACATCTTTTTATACTGCAAAATAAACTGAAGATTTAATAAGCTATTACAGCTTGTTAGTTGCCAAGTAATCTGTAGCTTTGGATCTAGACTGTTTCTGTCATGGCATGGGGTTGTAAGGAGGACAGTGATGATGACTAACCTGTGACCCTCCAGACATTGTTGGACTCCAACTCCCACCAAACACAGCCAATGGTGAGAGACGAAGGGGTGATGGCAACTGTAGTACAGTAAAGTCCATTACCTCTGGTGTAACAACATATGATCCTATCTACTCTATGGATCACATTATCATACCCTTATACTGCCTATTTTATTCTAATTATTCCTTGGCATTACATGTTTGAAAATCATTGGCATGGGCAAACCTTGTTTTTGATGAGTTAGGGTTTATCAGGGGTTATTCAACAAGTAAAGAAGATTTCCTTTTTGTCTACCACAATTAATATTTTTCTGCCATGATCAATGTAACAGGATATACTCTCAACTCATCCAGGGCTAGGATGAGACCCAGCAGGCCTGGCTTGCACCACATGTGGACTGAGAATGCACTGTAGGAAATAACCAAGAACACTGCAGCATGTAAGGGGTTTGTGACTGACATACAGAGATTCATCAGCACGCATGTGAAGAACAGAAAGGTAGCAAGGTTTGAAATCACTGGCTAGATGATCATTCTCATAGCACAGTCAGCATTTCCTCAAACCTTGCTGAAACTGAGTCAGCATCTGCTTTAATAGCTTAACACAGAAAATTAAGCAAGCACCTCACCCTTCAGCAGGATCCAGTGCTAATGCCCGAGGACTGTCCAAATCCTTCCACACTAGAACCTGGCGATGCTGCCCATCTAACTTTGACACTTCAATACGATTTGTTCCAGTATCGGCCCAATACAGGTTCTTTCCAAGCCAATCCACAGCCATGCCTTCCGGGTAATCCAAGCCAAACTCCACTACATGCTCCAAGGCACTACCATTCATGAATGCTCTGCTGATGGTCTGCAATGGGAAGTAGCAGAAGAGAGAGGGAAGGCAAGAGACAGAGCGCACACATGAAAGCTAGTAAACAGCACACTCCTTTAGTACATTTATTTAGAGCTCCAGTGTGGTCCTGTGCAATGTTGCTCTTCTTAGTCAAGTCTCGCTCCCCCCCCCCCGCCCCATCTGATTCACACAGCATTTAGTGCACAGGTTCTCCCAGGTGCCACTGGGTTCAGTTTTCTCAAGCAGCTTCTAGGGGACATATCCTCCTTGTATACGTTCCTGGCATCCTCCACTCCCCCTTTGTCTTGCCAGAAAAGATTTCTAGGATTCCCCACAGCTACCAGCTGTAATGTGGACTGTATCAAGGAACCCTGGTACATCTATACTCTCTTGCTTGCAATGTCACTGTATCGACAAACAGAGGAAGTATCTGTGCTCCACCCAAGAGGTGAGGCAACCATCTCAGGTGGCAGGATCCATGGGGCAGCTGATCCTGACCCTGACCTTTAGTCCCCCTTGTTCCTAATGTAGGTCTTCACTCCCCCCTTCTTCCCTGGCGGGGAGGGGGACACTGTTTCGTGGTTTGCCTCAGGTGCCAAAATGTATTTGGCTGGTTCTGCATGGGGCTGCCCTACTCCAAAGGGACAGAAGAGTGGGTGCATCCAATATCCTCAGTGTCTTTACTCCCCTTAAGCAGCAGACATTTGGGCTGGTTCTCAAAACTTTCAACGGGATAAAACTCTCTTCCAAGTACCTAGTAAAATGCTGCGGCTTTGCTCAATTTTTCCTGAAGTCAATGGGTGTTGACTGCATGACTGCATTACCTTTAATGAAATGTCTGTCCAATATATGCGATTGTCAGTTACATCAAAATCCAGAGCAGAAGCTTCTTTAACTCCTGTGAGTGGGATGGCAACATTGTTGTTGTTCGTCTCAAGAGAGATCCGCCTGATATCTGCTCTGCGAGAAAACAGCAGGAAAGCTTCTGGGACTATGCAGGTCTTCATGTCACTGATCAGCTCCAGGCCTATGGGGCAGGCACAGCGCAAACCTTGAGGCCTGTACAGGCAAAGGTGGCTACAACCCCCATTGGACTCTGCACAGGGATTTGTACCTAAGAAGACAGAAGGGGAAAACCATTTAGGATTCTTCTCTGATGTGAGACTAATATAAACACGATTCTGAAGGACTGTTGGTGCTCACAAAGTTTCCCAAAAGTGCAGCAATACAGAGTTAACTCACGTTATCTGCGCACACACGCAAGTGGACTGAACCAATTCAGACTCACTTCCTGTCTGGCTGCCATGGTGTACAGCTGTTCCCAGACCAGCGGAGCCTTTCCGTGCGGCTAACTGAGGATAATATGGGAGTAATTATCCTTGCCAAATGATGACCGGGGGGGGGGGGCAGTATACTTTCTGAATCCATTTTTTTACAGGCCACTGACAATAAACAACATTTGGTCCTCCTCATTCCCACTAGGGGCAGATGGCTCAAACTACTGTCATCCCGTGCTAGTGCTACCTTGTGTCCCATTTGAGCATATATTTTTAAGGGGAAATCCTATAAAAACTGCATACATAAATAAATAATCTGAGGGTTGCATTTTTAGTTTCATTTATCAGCTGCTTAGAGCAGTGGGTATCTTCTCTTTGGCATTAATTTTTGAACCTTCTCTTTCATGCTAAAATTATGGAAGCTGTTTAAAAACTTAACTGTACAGGTAACTCGCAACTTGCATGCATTTAGTGGAACGGGGGTGGGCGCCCAGCAAAAGAGACATTGGCAACCCCACCTGATATTGAACCCAATGATTTTTTTTTGCTTTGCACACTATCCCTGGGGCATTAACCCAGTGTAAACTGAAAGCTGTCGTACAACATAAGGTGCACTCTCTATCTGGAGAATGGAGAAAGGGGTGGGTATCCCCAGGTGAATTAAATATCAAGTTTGCTGTTTGGAGCTGCTATTAGATCTCGTCCCTTATCTTAGATACTGAGGTGGTACAAAGAACTTTTCACCAAAGTTAACGTGGACTTTTTTTGACCGAGTTTGTTGCTTTTTAAAAAATATGTGGTAAGTCCCCACTCTCTCACTCTATGGTTAAACACACAGAAAGGTTCCTCAATTGAAACACCTCCCTTTTCAACTGATTACTAAACACCCTCTTTAACCTAATAGTGTACCGTTCCGATTCCTAGGATACTCACCAAGTATCTGGTGGACATTTGCAGCCTTCAGACCCATGAGGTCAGGAAGCTGGTCTATGATGATCTCCCTTTCCGCTGTCTCCTTATGAACTCGCTCAATGCTTCGCCTTTGCCAGTCTGTCCAATAAACATAGTCCCCCAACAAAGTGAAACCAAATATATGAGGAAGCTTATCCTCCACAAGGACTCTCCTGCTAGTTCCATCTGTGTTCATGACCTTCACAGGTACAAAGAAACATACAAATATAAGTGATAGTACCTAGAAAGCAATGATTATCAGACCATTTAGTTCAATAAATCTCAAACTGTGCAACTCAACATTATAAATTAAATGTAAGTCCAAAGTATTGTTATAGATGTGGGTAAAATTAATAAATGCTAGGATTTTGCGTATTTGTGGTATGAAGGGAGAAATACAAGCTGCAAAGGGATTCTTGGGTAGCCTGGCCAAGCTAGTAAGATCTGGACCCCCTCCATGCAGACTGAAGGTGTAAATGGGTGAATAAACCATATTTCTTAAAGAATGACAGTCTCCCCTGGGTCTTCCATTCTCCAAAGGGACACACACCTTGCGTGTGAGCCTGTGGCCCCATGCGCTCTTGCCACTGCTTGGCAGAGAGACGGGCGGGCACCGGGCTTCTGTAACAGTATCCATCTACAGAAGAAGTATCCACAGAATATACATACGATGCTCTGCCATTCCTTCTTTCCATCTTTCGGCTTTAATTCCTCATAAACGTTAAACACACATACACCACCTTTACAGAAAACACTAACAAAATTATGTCATACGGGTGACGTATTCATGCCTCTAGCAAGGGAAAGGCAGCAATGCCCACTGCCCACCCTCCGCACTGTCTAACACACTTTTTTGCGTTTGGACAGGTTGCCCTTTGCAGAAGTTACAAATCCATGGCATGTTTCAGAATTCACTGAAAATCACCAGAGTGCTGAACTGCACCACCATATATCCATACCCTCAAGAAATGTAAGCATAAGTAATGATTAACTTAAAAACAGGAAGTGTTTTTTCACACACTTCTTTTGACTGGCTGGCACCTCAGTTAGCTTCAAAAGCTGTCTACTAAGCTGCTTGGTCTTCTTCTGTTTCCTTTTATTGTACCTTTTCCCTTTTGTTGTATGACACTTTGAATCCCTCCCCTTTTCAGCCGAAAAGAAGAGTATGTGTATACGAAATAGATAGATGGGAAGGTAGGTAGACAGACAAGACAGATAGATATCCCCCAATAGGTAATTTAAGGTTTACTAGGGGCCACTGAGAACCTTGCAATTAATTGGGTTACTAGGTTGCAGCAATCTGCTGTTAACCTGAATTGGAAGTGCTATCCCATAATATTTTTAAAAAGACTGGGTCCAGGGTGAGAAAATGTCTGTCCATTCACAGAATATTTGGGAAGAAAAGAAGACAATAAATACACTTCAGTAAATTAATATTACAGGCTCAGCTATGAATGTTCAGTAACTTTGTTTGAAATGTGCTAGGCAGAGTTACTTTTTCAATAAAAATGAAAAACTCTCAATCTGCAAGAAACCCTTCTACATCCAGCTGGTGTCTCCAGTGGTTTCTGCTCATTTTAACCACTATGTGGTTGGATTTCACATTTTGAGGCCACTCCTAAAACCCTTCAAACCACAGCAACAATACAGACTAAGACAGAAAACAGATGTGACTTCACCACACTACATTTCTTCCTAGATTGACTAAGCTCCCCATAAGGGGGAAATGGCCTGTTTTAGCCATTACAACTAGAATCAGAGAACTGTAGAGCTGGAAGGGACCCTGAGAGTCATTCTAGTCCCAATCCCCTGCAATGCAAGAATCTCCAAGGAAGGAGAGTCCACAACCTCCTGAGGGAGTCTGTGCCACTGGCAAACAGCTCTTACTGTCAGAAAGTTCTTCCTGATGTTTGGTTGGAATCTCCTTTCTTGAACTTTAAGCCATTGGTTCAGGTCCTATCCATCTGCAGCAGAAGCAGGAGAAGGAACTGAAAGTTCCAGTTCAGGTTTGTAACATAAAGTAAGTGTAAAACTGCTCTGAAATACATGTGCTAACAGCATACAAGTCATTTTCCATGTAATATTTCTCATTGGAACTTAATCATTCTCTTCTCCCATTATCCATACAATTCAGTTATACTCCTCAATTTTTTTTATTTGCCTCCTGTTCTTTTCCAAGCAAGTGTAAGTACCCCCACAGCCCTTCAGGATATGCCCCATCTCTTCTGTCTTGTCCACAGCCATTTTTTCTGCAATTCTGATTATTATCAGCCACCCAAAGTCTAAATACTGCCTTAAATAACTTTACTATTTTTCATGTTGTATCCCTGTGCTTGGATCTCCTTCCTAGGACCCCTTGTGTGAATCCTTTGGCTTAACTCCTTTGTCTCCAACTGAAGCAAAGCCTAAATATACCATGATGTGGAGGAACATGTGTGAGCTGCAGTCTCCTGCTGTGCAGGAGGATGGAGGGGGTTCATATGGATTGTCTCAATTGAACTTCAATATTGACAATTTTGATATTTGAATCTATAAAATCCATTCTTGGTTTGTTCCCCACCTTCAACTGCAAAACTTTTAAATATCCAACAAAATCTCAAGGTCTGTTGGTCCCGCCATGAGTGATTATTACTAGTCAAAGAGACCACTGATTTCAGTAAACCCATGCAAACCAGAGCAAATGGATTTAGGATTATAACCACTGCAGGGGAGGGGGACTTTAAATAATTTGGAGAAATGCCTACCTAATCACAACCTAATATGCACACTATATACAAACTCATTTGCTCATTTCGAAATAGTCTGACCAGCTCTAGAATTACAATAGTCAGCAGGTTTAGAGTATCTGTTTCGTCTGCATTTTTCCCTTAATACTTGCAGAAGCTCTGGCCCCCTACTAAACCAAACTGTGTAACAGTCTGCTCTCAGTTTGGCAATGAGTCAACTGCTCTGGCCTATCCATTTTCATCTCTTTTTTTGGAAAGGGTTGTGGAGAGAGGGGGATGGAACAGAGAACAGTAGGTACAACGTGGGATCAATCTTGGTGCATCATAATTCAAGTCTCTGAGATAAGGGGTGGGGGGAGTCTAAAAATCAGGACAATTTCCCCAAATACTTGATATGGGGATGGGTGGACTGAAATAGGAGGCAAAGGCACACTTCACTCTACTCTTAACATTTTGTATCTTTGATTTCTTGATTAGCTCAGAGCGATTGAAGACTTTCTTCCTACAACAGTGAGGCAGCCCAGTTAATATTGCCTCTCACCCTCCCCTTAACCCAGTACGTCAAGACTCAGAAGCAGCATGGTGCAATGGCGAGGCTTCTGATTTTCCCTCACAGTAGTCTGCTATGGTTTAGGCAGCACTGGGAATTCTGGTGTGTCCAAGTTCTCTCCTTTGGAATTAAGTCACTGTCCATATTTCGGCAGAGAATGTGGGAACTAATGATGAATATTAAGAGTGTGTTCTGAGGAACACATGATGTTAGATGCAAAAACATAATGACTTCAGTTTTCAAGGCACACCTGATCCTTATCATTGCACACTACTGTTCCTCACCACACAGTCTAGGATTTACGGAGCTGGGGAAACATAAAATGCCTTGCATTACAAAGAGAAATTTCAGTTACGCTTAGAAAATAGTAAATGGAACATTAATGATATCTATCTTGCCCCTCCTAGTTATTGTTTTTTTTTTTAAAAAAAAAAATTAATTCATTGCTGGCAGTACCCTTGATGTCTGTAGGTTCACATAATCCCATCTCGGGCCCAGAGCAAATGCAGAACCAGCAGGTGCAACCCAAAACATCCTTGTTCAAAAAGGAATTGTACTGTTTTAAAGGAGTCTTCATATGCTTAGATTATCAGAAACTATTTATTTTACTATTTCATAAACTATAAAAATGTGCTCTGGAGTATGAATATATCAGCTCCTAATGCTCACTAGCCTGAACCTATGCTGGCCAACAACTTACAACAGCTGGCAAGACCTAGACATGGAAAAACACTTCTTGTTTTGAACTACTGAAATGTGAATATCTAGACTTTGTAAAGTCTAAGAATCACTATTTTTTACTTTAAGCTATATGTTTGGGTATGTTACGAGCCAATGTGCTTCTGTTAGTAGAAGCAGTATCTTTATGAATAAAAACAGAAAGTTGGTGCAAAAATTATCTTGCTCTACAAATTACTGTTGTGTGAAATCTCAACTGAACCCAGAACAATTATAGGAGTGCACTCCGTTGAAGTGGACTGATAAGCTATAGGTGGTAGATTGGCAGCCGATGGCTTCCTAAATCTGGCATACAAGAAATGGATAAGCACTTGCAAAGTTTAAATTTCTGACCATGAATAAGGGTGCACTTGCCAGTAGACTTAACCTTTAAGCAAACCCTTATTTCTCTGAGTACAATGTGTGGAAGACCCTCTTTCAGGGAGGGGATTTATAAGGAAAGGTTTTTGCAGTAGGGTAGTGAGCTGGCTCTGAGGGATTGAATGCATATGTTGAGGGGGAACACTTTCTTTGTGTATAATCATCAAGCTGAGGAAAAGAATGGCAGAGCAAGATTCAGACATCTGGGTGAAAAACCCCTTGCTAAAAGGACTAAAAATTAAAGACAATGGGGGTTGGTGTGTTAGTGTATCTTGATTGGATGAGAGAAGAACAAAGTAATTAATAGAAAACAGAGAATGGTTAGATAATAAATAGAAAAAGCAAAAGCATATGCTGGGAAGTTAGTTGCAAGGGTATATAGCCTGCTCTTAATATGCAAAGATGCACAATACACATATAAATGCTACACCAGTGCTGGATACTTTGAAGATGGGTAGCATACGTGACCAGCACAAGCAAAGGGGGAAAACCTCACCCTGACTCATATTCAACTTAGAGCAGGGAATGAATAAATATGAAGTCAATTCAACAGAGCATATCATACATTTTTAACCTCATGGCACAGCAGGGGAAAATATGCTTTAAACCTGTAGCAAGTCAATGAGAAATCTTCCCCACTGGTAAGCACAATAGCAGCCATCCAATTCAATAGACGTTTATCAGTGAAACCTGATCGAGATAAATGAGGAAGCAGTTGGGCCACAGCCTTCCTTTGCCTGCTGCAGGCTGCCAGATAAAATGGAAACAAAAGCTCCCTGCTGAACCTCCCCCCCACCGGTCTCCATTAGCACCCCCGCTGGTGCT